AACCCAATTTTAACCCAAATAGTAGAAGAAAGACTAGTAAACAGAAACTGTGGAGACAGAGCAAGTTAGAGTCATTAGGAAGAATTTGCAAATGCTTAGGGCAGTTTAAATAAAGAACAGGGTACCTCACTCCTGGACAGGAATTAAGCAGCGACCCAGCAGCTGTTGGAAGATGCAGTCCTACAGGAATATAGAATCAGATGGAGAGCAAATATTGAATCAGGTAACATCTAAGATCTCTCTGAACCCTCTGATGCTTTAACTCTGTCATCTTGTTGGAGATTGCAGGGGCCGGGTGTCTCAGATCATTTGTAAAAGCTATGACATATCAGCCACATCACAGATGGATTCTGAAGAGGCCAAGAACAGATTCCACTTCTGTCAAAAATGAATTAACCTGTAAAGGTACTTTCTCTAGAAAACCACACTGGGAGTGGGAGCCCATGATTGACCATGGCTCCCGTGATGTAGCTTTATATCCTTGGTTCCAAATTCACAAACTCCTTTTCAATTTATTTTACATTCCTGAGGCATGGGTCTCCATTCTGGGAAGAAGGCAACGGAATATTAGTTTTGTCTGAATGCAGCAGGCATCTAAAATCCACTTTAAACCCCTATTCAGAAGGCTTGATCTAATTTGATTTTATCATTCAATGTAAAGAGGCTCACTTGGGTGCATTTTGGGGTAGCTTATTGTCAGTGGCAGTTTGAAAATGTCCCAGGGTAAATTGTAGCAATTTCTAGGAAGTTGCTGAAGGAAGCCATTGAGTATAATTATTTTTAAATAAGGCACAGCTTGCTAGCTGATGAAAGGATACATTGGTAGATGTTTCTGGTTCCCTGTTATTTAATCGAAGACCAGGCAGTCCTGAAGTGGTTTACATACTGTTAAGGTCATTGCCCAATTTCAAAGGTAGTTCAAAGATTGCTGAGTTCCCTCGGGACTCTTGAGAAGTCCCCCGATGTCAGGTTCAGAACCCCTAACCCAGAACTCCAGTCGGGATTGGAGCAGCTTGTGCTAGATGTTGGCACAGAGGCAGGTGTATTTTCACCCAGGTTATTAGTCTCCTCTATGCTCCACTAACTCCCTTGGCAAATTTAATTTTAGAAAGCTAATGGCAGTGCTGTTCCCCAGACTCCATGAAGCACCTTTGTCATCCTCTACTACAATCAGCCATTAATGGGACACTAATATATTTTGACATAAAGGAACACGACTGAATTACTTGGCTTTCATTTCGTCTCTGTGTACTTTCTCTCCCAAGTTCTAGTTATTTTCATGTTACCTGTTGCCCCATGAAAGACCAGGTGGGAGAAGACCCAGAAGAATCTTCTCTCGTGTCACAGAGAATCGTGACACCAGCCAGGCCGGACAGTATTCTGCCAGGGGAGGCCCAGCAGCCCGTCACAAGGGTCTAGGGGACTCCTGTTTATGCCTTAAACCTCTCCTAATACTTGGCATTACAGATGCTGCGGCTGATTAGGCGGAACCTTCTCCCAGAGCAGAATCTTCAGAATAATAATTAGACTGGTAATAGTTCACATCTACTGAGCACTTACAATATGCCAAACAGTTTTCTAACCACGTCAACTGTATTGGCTCTTCAATTCTTACAATAGCCCTGTGAGATGAATACTGCTATTGTTTTTTTCCCCATGAGGAAACGGAAGCACAGAGTTTCCTGCTTAAGCAGAAGTAGGAGCACTTCCCTTCAAATCCAGGCAGTCCGAGCAGGAGTCTGAGCTGCCTCAGTTCACTGCTGTTTACACTGGGGTTTTCCATCACAGACTCCATGACTGAGTGCCCTAAAATTCGCTGATGGGCCTCACCTATGGTGACATTTGATAGCAGACCAAATGTGAGGAACCCCAATCAGAAAACTGGGTTGAAGCGAGCTGCTGCTGGTAGGAAAGGCAGATACGCTGTTGGCAGAAGCAGAAGCTGAGTGCAAGACTGTGAATGTGTAGGAAGGTGGATGGGAGAGAGTGACAGAGAGCTAGGGAGAGTCCCTGTTTTCTTCTGTCTGGCTTAGCTGGTCGTTCCGGAGACGAAATGAGATAACATGTGAATTCATGTGGTAACTGAAAGTTCTATTCAAATGAAAGTTCCTGCTGTGTGTCCCTGGTGTTCTGTAAGCCAAGGAGATTGGTTCAAGAGGCAGCAGTCTGCGACTGGAATTGGCGGGTCCGGATGAGAGGTGGGAAGGTAGATGGACGCAGGTGCTGATGGATTTGATAAAGGCAATGCACACTTGTGAGCCCAGGAGGAGCCCCCCGGAGGAGGGGTGCAGTGACTGGTCTGCAGTCAGTCCCCGAATCCTATTTCCCCATCTGTTGCTACTGCCGTAACCAGGTCTTAGTCTTGGTAACTCCAGCCCACTGGAGAAGCCTGGAGCTCTCTGCCGGAAAATCTGCTGTTATCTCCAGTGTTGTATAGACAGCCCTCTTTCACCTCTGCCCTCCCCTGTCTCCCCTTACAGAGTACAGCTTCCCTCTAATCTGCAATGTTTGCAGGAAAATAGTTACCAATTACAGTCTATGCAGGTCACTGGGGTCAACTTGGAAATAAAAAGGTCAGACCCCTCTTTATTTCTGGATAAGCATTTGGTACGAACATTGTAAGATCACTTGTTAATCTCTGAAAGTCTTTCCTATCTACTCACATTTAGTACAAAACACTCTGTTATAGTTCTTATTTCTACTCTTGTCCTGAGATATCATCATTCATTTACATATTGACATACTTTTACAATAATTATATTATTTTTTCTAAAAACAATGATACTCAATGTAAAAACAATCCCCAAATCCTAGCATGTGGGGATAACCACTTGGGACCAGCTGCTCACACATTTTTCTCCAGACATTTCTCTACATGTACAAACTCCAAGGTTCCACCGTTTATGTGAAGATGATGCCATGTGTAATTCCCCACAATGCTTTTCACGTAACAGTCTGTTATTCTCCTACCTTTCCCTTGGTGAACATGGACCTGCACACTCACTCATGTTTGCCAAGCGTTCTTCTGTGTAAACACATCACCATTCACTCAGCCACCATGTTTACTGAGTATTGATGAAGAAAAGGCTCTGAGCACCGTGCTGAGACCACCTGACTGTTAGTCCAGGCTCCCTGGCTCTGCTGTCAAACCCACGGCAAACCCTTGGCATCGGACCACATAAGGAACACGAAACCACTGAGGGACGAGTCCAAGGCTCTATTCGCAGTTCTGCCTCTTACTAGCTATGTGACCATAAAATCACTCTCTCTCTGAACCTCAGTTTCTCTATCTGTAAATGATGGTGCGGGTATGCATGGTATTTAAAGCTTATTCTCCTGATCTACAAACATGCTGTCAAACCATACCTTCCATCACAACCTAAGCACTCATGTCCGTTTCATTTGTCATTGCCTGCCAGTGTCCAGTACAGTGACCGGCACAGAGTGGACACCCAGCAAACACGCTTTGACTACTGAATCTGGCTTCTTAATGTTCCCTCAGAAGCACCATTCTTATGGTTCAGTGTTGGCTTAATTTTTAAGTCAGTAAACCTCAGACATTTTTACCAGTCCTCCATCTCTCTCTAGAATTTATGCACTTCTATCTAAACCTGTGTGTGTGCGTTTTGGGGGGAGAGAACTGTGCATGGATGTACACATATATCTCCACATGGATGTCTGTGTGGTTTTTCAGAGGGGGCGGTGAGTAGAGTGAGAGTCTATATGGAGGGAGTTAACTATACTTTGCCGTACATGTGGCTTAGACAAGAGAATTAGATTGCACTATTTTTTTCTCTACCCCTTCCAGAGTTGCAATGAAATGAGATGTGTGTGTGGGTGGGTGTGTAATGAGGTGGAAGTGACAGTATTCTGACAGTGTTTCTAAAGGATCACTTTTCTTGTATCCATCCTCCTCCCCTTCTTTCTTTCCTTCTCTCTTACCTTCTTTCCTCCCCCCTCTCTTCCTACCTCCCTCCCTTCCTTTATTGAAATAAACTAAAGAGTAATGCCATTCTTTCTACTTTAGTCAATGGTGACTTTTATCCCATAATATAAGAAAGGAAAACCAACCCTCTATTTCAGAACATTTTCTGACCAATGAAATCTAAGTATAAAATAATGTTTAAGGACACGTGGGGATTGTGTTATATTAGTAATATACTGTTCCATAGTGATGATGATGAAGAACAAATTGTTTTACTCAACTAATACTCTTAATTAAACTATTTGGAAAATGCCCCGTAAGAACATCTGAGGAGTCCAGGTAAAGACTTTGTGAAGATAAACAGGATGCTTCAGAAAGCTTGGTGCTGCCTCTTTTATTGTTTAATATTCTGAACTGGTAAGGATTGGGTTCTTTTAAAATGAAATACGTACTTCATTCCCTTCCTAAAGGAAGTACAGTGCACGTATTTCCCGTCTTTTTCTTTATTTTGCTCAGCGTCGCTGTCACAGGTGCGTTGACTGCGACATGTTTGATGGGGAGGGGCTCTCAGAGACTAGCCAGGTGTCTAGAGCTATTTCGGTGTCAGCCCTGCACCCGCAGGACCCCTGGCTTGGTCTCCATAGTTTCCTTGTCTCTTCTGAGGGTCCAGTTGCCATGTTTGGCTGTTACCGTGTGTTTGCCCAGAGCATTTCTTTGCCACTCTATGCTACTGCTCACTGTTTCAGAGTTGCTGTGTGTAATTTATCATGGAACCAATCACATGATCTTATTAGGCTTTTGACTAAGTTAATAGCAAATATCTTATGAGTGGTCTCCAGATGCTTTTCCTGCTTCTCTCCATGTTCTTCACCTAAATTTCAGAAACTCGAGGCTTCTGGAGGCATGTTCTCCAGATAATTTCTGGAGTCTGGTAAAGGCCCCACCATGCTGGTTTGAATGTGAATGTTTTCTTCTAAAGCGTGAAGACAGGACATCGCCCTTAGTCCCTCCAGGTGCCTGTGACTCCCGGTTCCACTCCGGCCTTTTTGTCTGATGTGCGGTTCTTGTTTTGCAGCCCCCAGTCTGTCCCAGACCGCCTGAGGATCCGTGTGAACAAAATCAGTTTGCAAGACTATGAAGGGTTCCACTATGACAAAGAGAAACTCCGGGAAGCGTGTAAGTGGAAGGGCCTCATTCATTTTACGGGATCTGCCTTTTCCCAGCTTCTTGATCCTCCTTGGTTTGGTGGATAGATTCAGCTTGTGTCCGAAAGCCATGGGGAGGGATAGGAAGGGAAAGGAAGTAACATGTGAACCCCAAGTGATGATATGTAGGCTAAAGAAAATGGAACTGGAAAATGAAATAAAATCATTCTGCTCAAGATGCCACGTTAGGACCTCTTGGTTTATGGACCACTCTTTAGTCTCAGCTTTACCTAAAATGAGAATGCAGAATGTTGGTCACGCCACAGGGTAGAGTAACACCCAGGAAACTCTTGTGACAGCACAAGTGTCTCCCTGGAAGCTGGCATTACCAAATAGTGTCCTCATTCTCCATGAAGGTGCAACAGAGTTATCCATGAAGATATGTCTCATGCTTCTAGCTGTTATGTGATATATGACATGAAAGAAAGGCCCCCTGATGCTCAATGTCATGATAAGGTTATTCACTGATGATGTGCCATTGTTTTTGAAATCTTACATTGAGTCAACATATGAACTGTTTCTCCACGTTCATATTTTTTATATACTTCTTTACATAGAGAACTAAATTTTTGTTCACCGCATCTACCCTTCAGTATTTACCAGGCACTTTTTAGGTTCCAGTCACTATTTTTGGTCCCTTTCTATGTCCTGTGAAAACTGGGTAAAGCAGACCAAAAGATCAGACCACAAGTGTATTCAACGTTAGGGACCTGGGCTCCCCCAGAAGGATGGGCGCCAACAGTCAATGGCAGTGAAGTCAGAGAAGATCAGCGCCAGTGTGTGAGGGCACAGGCAGGGAGGCCAATGGAAAGAAAGGAATCGAGCACAGAACCTGGGATCTATGAGCCAGATCCCCAAGCTGCCTCCAAGTGTGAACCTTCCTAGAGTTATAGAAGATGCTCATAGTTGAACCAGGTAAAGGTGGAGATGGGGAAGCATGCTTGTGATAATGATTTTTAAGCCCTGACTCCTGAACCTGTGGCCTGGAGTCAGGTTTGGTGGATGAAAATCCTGGACTCCAGGGACACTCTCAGGGGTGGATGCAGGGACTTTAGACCCAGAGGGGCAATGCCCAAGGACCCATTTCCATGGTAGACCAGTCCCCAACCAGAGAATTCTGTGTGAAATTACTGCCTTCTCACTTCTCTCTGCTGCATCAGCTTCCTTAGCTAGTTTCTCTTCAGACTCCATCATTCTGTCCTTCCGTCCCATTTCCTTGGGCAGGAAAGTTGGAGGTGGAGGAGGAGGAATTCCCTGAACTTCTGCGTTCCTCTCTTCTATACATGACAGGTTACATTTTCTCATGTAAATGAGATTGTATGTGACAGACTAGCACAAAATCTGATTTAATGCAAAACATGACGGGCACATATGTTTGCAGCAGGAGGTGTAGCTACAATGTAAATGAGACTTTCAGAGCTTGCAGATGGTAAAGAATAGGGTTTTATGTTCTCAATGGACTCAAACTTCTAAACAAATAAGATTACAATTTTTGAAAAATTAAAAATGAGAAGTGAGTACTTCTCCAGTGAGTACTACTCTGAACCTTACCATCCACTCTGAAGAAAGTCATTTGGGAGTGGGGAAACAGTTGGACTTTTTGCCTTATCTGTGGACTAGAGTGATCTGCTCTGTCTTTTCTAGGCAATATCTGGCCATCATTGCCAGACATAGTTGTGATTTGAGTTTTTACAAGAAGAAGACGTTTCTGGGTGGGTGCTTTACTCACCACATCTTACCTAATGAAACTTCTGTGCGAGGAAACTTCCTATATCAAATTGGGAGAGGTGAATTGGTATAAAAATGCCACTTTTCTGTGTGTAATGCACACCTTTTGCTCAAATACAATGATGCACGTTATACACGGGCAGCACTAAAATGTGGGTGTGCATTATACACCACAAAATATAGGTAAATCCAACAAGTTCAGCAGACCCAAAAGAACAAAGAAACACTCAAAGAGGGAGTCAAGGAATTAACTCATTCTAAATACCTGGGTTTAAAGAACACTTCTTTTAATTAGAAGTGAAGGTGGCCAACTCAGCCATCCTGCTTTTGATGTGTGGGGGGATGCCTCTCACCTGTGGTTGCCCAGGAAAGTTTGTCCTTTGGGGTTACTACTTGTTTCTTACCCTCTTTTACTCAGCTTCATCTTGTGCTCAGCTTCGACTTGCAACTAAGCACAGATTCATGGGAGGGCTGGCAGAGGTCAAGTTGGGTATAAAGGCAAAAACCAGTTCAAGTCCATAGGTGATATCCATGCCAGAAGGTACGTGTATCTTACTTATACCTTCTGTGTATAATTAAGGTATGTGTAGCTGTGTGAATGAGGTATTCATACAGAATAGGTATTATTTTAGAAGCATGAATTAAGTGAAATTCATAGGCTACGTCTAGCTAAAAGGGATTCTAGGAATGTGTTGACCTGCATCCTAGAAGGAAAAAAGGGGTGAATCCTCTTAGGTCATTTACTTATTGTCAACATTCAAGGTCGAAACCAGAGCAGGACTGCATTGCTGGGTTTAAAAAATTAGCTCCCTTTCGTGCTGCTAGGCACCGAGTGATTCATCCAGACACCGTGAACTGTTTGCCATCACTGTTTAATAGAATCTGGCGCATGGGTCTGCATCATCATTTTTATTACATTACAGATCGAATGTTTGTTGCTAACAGAGCCCTGCTTCCGTCTGTGTGGCAGGACCCCGTGGTAATTACAGGATGGCAGCCCCTTTAATTACCTTGCTTCTTTTAGCCAATAAGTGGAATGACTGTTCTATTCCACTGCATTTCCCCTTTCATGTAGCCCTAGCTCACGGGGTGGGGGGCATTCACCCTAAAATAATAGCACAGAAAGGTTAGTCTTTGCCAGTCCCTCCCTCAGCTCTTGCTGGTAAATTTTAGACTTGCTTAAAACAATTAGTCTTAGTCACTGGATTAATGAATTATTAATCCTTAAATTAATGGTTATAAAGTCCAAGAGAGGAAACGCTATTCACCTTAAGAAGTAGAACATAGAGAGAAAGTGGCCATGTTAGAAAAAGAATCTTAGAGTACATTTATGATAATGACAGCAGAGACTCACTCTAATAATCTGAATAAAGTATATAAAGGGGTCCATAATCAAACACAGAATCATTTTGTTGTTGGGGCCCAAGACAGACTGCCTCAAAGTATCCCGACAATAGCATGTTGATTATTTTCTTTTTTTTAAATATATTTTATTAATTATGCCATTACAGTTGTTCTATTTCTCCCCTTCATTCCCCTCTATCCTGCACACCCCTCCCCCACCATTTCCCCCTTTAGTTTATGACCACGTGTCTCAAGTTCTTTAGATTCTATATTTCCCATACTATTCTTGCCCTCCCCCCTATCTATTTTCTACCTACCATCTATGCTACTTATTTTCTGTACAATTAAAATTACTTAAGAAATAGCCAGTGTAAGGAAAACAGTGACCCCTCTGTCCCCTGAAAAGTATGAGAGAAATCACCCATGCGAAAGGACTTCCCTTGGGAGTCAGAGGGAGATAGCTCTCTTCCTATTGGATTTAAAGAACCCAGGGCCACAGAGTCTGCACAAACACATCGCAGGGCCTCCTCATCGATTTACTGCCCAAGCCCAGACTTTGCTTGGGTCCTTCACCAATCAGTACCCAACCCGCTGAAACTTCTTCCTGACGCACATGGACTTGGTTGCCTGCCGGTTCTTCACAAATGTATTCTTGGTCCAAAAGTATAAAAAGGTGTCTGATTCAGTCGTTTCCATGAGCCTCGTTTTGTGATTCGACTACCATATTATAACCGCCCATGCGTACGTGTTCAGTTAGTTTCTTCTCCTGTTAATCCAGCCCTTGTATCACTTTTATTATTTTACTGTTAGTCCAGCTGTAGGAACTGAACAAGTTTAGGGCAGTGGGAATTCTTCCCTTTCCCTGACGTCGTCTAGATAAAAGATAGTCAGTTTTGAAAATCTGTTATATTTCTCACTTGAAAAGACTTTCATTGCTATATGACATATATTTTTATATCTAGAATAATAACTTGTTACTGGCCAAGATTTAACTCTATTCCATAATACTGTCTAAATTTTACTTCTGGCATTAGCTTACTCTGCACTTGTGAATTGCTGTGATAATTCATGCAAGACTAGGGCTTAAAACACAAAAGCAAAAACCAGTTTAGAACTAATTGAAAACAGATGTAGCCTATAAAGGTAGGAGGGGACTAATATTTGTTGTATAACAAATATAATGTTCATTAGTCCTTTTGTGTACACTGGCTCAGTATAATGGATATTATCTGGATATTTATATAATGTATAATATATAATATATAAAATATAATATATAATCTCAGCAGATTATTCTCTGATAAAGACTAATGATACTGTAATGGAATTTCTCTGTCTTTTGTTGAGCCACTTAGTAGAAGAGTCAGAAATGTTTGTGCTTGAATCTCAGTTACAACCTTGACAAGGTAACTTCTCTGAGGACCAAAGACCTCATCTCTAAAATGAGAATATAATTGCAGCCTCATAGAGTGCTGAGGGTTACACATAATCTTGTGTTTGAAACCCCTGGTGCAAAACCCGGCCTATTAGCATGCTCTCCAGAAATAGCAGCCAGGATTGTTGTGGCCGCTATGGCTAAAGACACGTTCCATCCCCCTGGCCCTTAATCTCAGGTCTGAAACCCAGGGTCAGAGCAGCTGACCTCCCCTACACACATCTCTCGCTTCAGAGTGCACACACCGCCGCCTGCCAGGTCACTTTCTCACATTTCAGAATAGAATTGGAAACACTGGTGATACCACAGAAAGATTGTGGGGAGAAGTATAATCGATCATTCAATTTACTTTTACTAGTAGAGGAGACGGCTCTAATGCAAGGTGTTTAAACCTATTCATGTACACACTGAATGCTCATATTTGGTGATTTGACCAGATATCTGCAAATTTCCTTTCTTAAATT